TTTGACCTCGAAATAGGGTGAATACATCTCATATTACTGATTTATTGGTAGTCTCTATACAATATTTGAATGCGAAAAATATATTATTTTTGTTATTCTTTAAATTTTCTTTTTTTTTCTATTTATTCATTCTCCGATTGCATATTCGCGCTTTAGGCAGTAAACGATAACAAAGTTCTAATTGTTATTGGTGAGACAGGCAGTGGTAAAACGACACAGATCACTCAATATCTGGCTGAGGCCGGCTACACTAACACTGGTCGAATTGGCTGCACTCAACCTCGACGTGTAGCTGCCATGTCGGTTGCCAAGCGTGTAAGTTCTCCCATTCTTTATCCTTCATATTTTCCTCCACTCTCCATATCTTATATAAATATTAATCCTTTTTATTTCTTGCAATGCTTACGCTTTATGTTATCTCGTATTTAGCATTTGTCCTCCGAACTTAGCTAACTAACTATTTAAATACACTTTTTATATCACCCCTTGTTTCATCTGAATTTCCCTAGGTATCGGAGGAATTCGGCTGTCGCCTCGGGCAGGAGGTAGGCTACACAATTCGTTTCGAAGACTGTACAGCACCCGAGACAAAGATAAAATACATGACGGATGGTATGCTTTTGCGTGAGTGCTTGATCGACCCCGACCTTCGACAGTATTCTGTTATCATGCTGGACGAAGCTCACGAGCGTACCATCCACACAGACGTGCTTTTCGGTCTACTGAAGAAGGCTATCAGAAAACGTGAGGACATGAAGCTGATTGTGACTTCCGCCACCTTGGATTCTGTCAAGTTTTCACAGTACTTCTTTGAAGCGGTATGTACTTCATTATTAATGGGCTAGGCTATTATAGCGTGAAAAGGCTTTTATTTATTTATTCCGATTTTGGGACTTGCCCAAGGATCACCTTCAATGAGGCAATAGGACATTGTTCGTAATACTAAATTTAGTTTACTTTATAACTATTATCATCGATGATGAAGAACATAAAATATTAGTAGTTGTCTGTTGTTGCTTTTAAGGAGTATTGATTTTATTTTTCTCCAGTAAAAAATATATTTTAAAAGCAGACTTGTATCTTTTTTGAAGCAATTATTATTCATCACTACTCATCTTCAAGTAAGAACTTAGCCACTTTAGGTCGCTTGAGGTTACTTAATTATCGTTAATTAAGTTTTCCAGCAGTAAGGCTGACTAGATCTCATGATATCACTGGATTTCACTTTGCCTTTCCCCGCAAAAGACTATCCTATCTAGGGTGGATTGTGGTTTTGACCTCACCCATGTATCATTTCTTCCCAAACAAGATTATATATCTGGTCATTAGTATCACGGTCACGTTTCCACTTGACCACAGCCACCGGTGTCCGTAGGTCACAGGATAACAGATACATTCACGGCTGGCAAGGCTTCCAAATTTAATTTATAGTGGAAATTTCAATTAAGCTAATATGTATTTGTTAAGCTTATTTCCATTTCGAAGAAAGTGTTGAGTGAAGAGATTCGAAGGTCGGTTCTACCAGAAGACGACGGCGAATTCCTCTTGATCAGCTGTATATTGGCTTTGCTAGGACATTCTTGTTTACGCTGTTTCCAAGGTAATTTACTTCGATTCCGGTGAAAAGGGGCTAGCTTTCGTCCGCCATATGACAAAAGCCGGAATCGAAGTAAATTACCTCGGAAACAACGTAAACAAGAGGTGTTCCAGTAAAGACAATCAGCAGCTGGTCAAGAGGAATCCGCCGTCGTCTTCTGGTGGAACCGACCTTAGAATGTCTTCACCAAACACTTTCACTCGAAATGGAAGTGAGCTCAACAGTTATGAAACAAGAGATTTCTCGAAACCCAACTTTTCTCCGCTAATATTTATTTGGCAATGAAATCAAAAAATATTTATTTTTGATACATTTAAACTTCGAGATTATCAATGATTGCTTAATAAGAGCTTTTTTCACCCTGGTCGATTAATGTGACTTGAGGACTGATTGTTTTCCTACAATATAATGTACAGGTTTAACGGTGCGATTAAAGTATATGGGAAATTCGGCTGTATCGTGTAGTCTATTCATCTCACTGTGAGGAATCTCAGTTATTAATCTTTAAATAACCTTAATCGCCATAGGGTGACCAAGTTCTTATTCAATAACATAAGGTAATAGTAATTGTGATTAATCTATTGTTGATTTATTCCCGCAAATTTTGATCTCGTATTTGTCCGGCCAAAAAGGCAGACTTTTTAAATGACTAGTTTCAGGCATTACTTATTCCTTAATATCAACTTCTACTTCTGCTCATAATTGCCGCATTTGCTGTAATAAACTTCCGAGAAAATCCAGTTTGTCGACCTCATTTTGCGTCGATAGGCTGGTGAAGAGTGTTCTCTTTTCTTTTGGTATCCCATTGCCTTAGTAACTGTTGCAATTTTTTTACTCATACTACAACTGTTTATCAAACAATTGGTCATAGTATCGACTTCACTTATCTGACACGTAGTGTGGTGCTAAGAGTGGTAAGGCTTACTGAAGATGCCAGCTAAAAGTCTGGGAATGTACCAAGTCTACGGTCAGACTGTAACTAATCATACATATTATGGACTCCAGACAAGGTACATTTTTCTAGGTCTTACTGACCGAGTTGCGTAAATAAGGTCAAACAACTATTATCTTCTTTCGCTTACTCCTGCTTCCTTTCATTACATGTAAGCATAATTCGTCATCTCTTCCGTCCAAAATCGAATGATAATTTGCTTTATTAGGGTTGTATGAGGCATTTAAATGCACAACTTAGAAGTGGATAAGCCTTATTAATTACAAGATAGTTCGTAATTTCTTTTGTTGCCAGTTTCGTTAATATTTTATTTATTTCAAGGTAAGAGCGCCATGCCTAATAGGCATAACTTATACGAGTGGATTTTTAATAGTAGAAGGTAATAGTATATTTATTTTCTAAAGATATTATCTACCACTTTTTAACATTCATTTTTTATTGGCTATTTGTTAACAGAGGCTTTCGTTTAATCAACCTTAGCTGACTTATTCTTCCTTTATTCTATCCTGATTTTTGCAGCCAATTTTCACGATTCCTGGACGAATTTTCCCTGTAGAAATACTCTATTGTAGGGAGCCTGAGAACGATTATTTAGACGCTGCACTGAATACGGTCATGCAAATTCATTTGACAGAACCACCAGGTAATATTTTTCTTACCTTTTTCTGTTAATGTATCCTACGTCGTCCTCCGCAATCAGTAATGGCTAACATATTCATAACATAATCTATACAGTAAATACTGGAAGCACAAAAATATCAGAGGGCTCATCGGCTCTGCCCGATGCTTGGGCAAAGAGATATTAGTCTCCCACTTTTCTGCTCTTTTGCTATCAAGTAAGCCTAGACTAAGTATAAATAGCTAAGAGTATTTTTAGAAAAAATAGTTTAAACAAATCAATGTACTAACTTCATAAACAATTTGGGATTTATATGCGTATATACATATGGATGTGTACATATATATATATATATATGTATATATATACATAATTATTTATAAGTAGATCAAATTAAATTTACAACCAAAGGACAGAAAAATGGGACTATATATCTTGTGCCACTCGAATTTCCATCTCGAAGAAAAGGATAGTTGGAAGGAGTTCGTGAATTGGTCTCACTGGAAACCGAAGGAGAATTGCCTTCGAGTAAAGATTGTTGGATTTAGAGAAATCCTCGGCTCACTATACGGGGGCTCCGATGAGCCCGTGTTAAGCGTTCGCTTTTTATATGGTTTTCGATTGCCTTTATCGCCTGACTGAATATTTGAATCTATGTTTCTACTTATTATTTACTTTGAAGTTGTTTGTTAGGCTTTTTCTGGCCTAAAAATCAGGCAAACTACGCTCCTTAATCAACTGCATTTTTAGCACTTAGTCTGTAAATAAACTCTGTTACTAGTCCTGTATTTTATAGATTCAACTAAACGGGCTAGGGTAAAAACGTATTTAAACCAAGCCCATGCAACTAATTAAGGATGTGATAAAACAAAAGCTACACCATAATTGATTACCCTACTCTTTTGATTATTTAGTCAATTTGGGCGGAACATAAAGAACTAGGAGCTTTTTTATTAAAATAGTTTAAACAATTTTATTATGGTTATTTTATTAGTAAATATACATATTTATGAAATTCATTTTTAATTTTGTCCTATTTGTTGCA